ATAGTAAAGCCATGTGTACAGTGACAAACTGACTTATAGTTGAGACACCATGGAGGTGCTACTTACCTTAAGATATGCAGAATGAAAGACCAGGGACAAATTATTATTGAACTGATTGTCCTCTCCATTCCAAGGCGCCAGAGTACAATGGCAAACTGAAATTATAATTGTAACGCCATTTTGACACCTTAATGTTTGCAGAATGAAGACTCGGGGAGAATACTATTGACCTGATTTTACTTTCCATTACAGGCTGCCAGTGCATTGTTTACGCTTGATGGTGCTCGCGGAGAAGCACTTTCAAGGCGATTGGCTAGAGGCGAGAAGAGACGAAGACGCTGTCGAGCAGCATTGGCTGTATTGGCTATCTTACTGCTGTTGGCTGCTGTGGGTGCGGTCGAACTGCTCATGTCGAAAGGACAGAGAGTGTTTGGAGCAGTCCTGCGATAAAAAGGGAAATTAGCTTTCTTCCCTTTAATAATAGAAGTTTAGGATTCGAATTTATCATTTCAATTACAGGTTTAATAGATGGTATGGCAAAATTGTTGCGGAGAACCTTTCAGATTTAAGTGTCATACTGGCACTGAAAGGTTCAATAACGAATTAAAATGAACTAGATAGTGTAAATCTTTCAGCAAAGGTAATGGAACAGTTTTACCTATATTGGTTTTAAATAGTTGTAAAAGTTCGGTACACAGTACTATCACTAGCAATAGAAAACTGCAAGTATTTAATTGTAAGTATCAAACAAACTCTACGTTTGTGGTTTTCGCAAGTTCCTCCGTATGAACTTCGCTTTAATTTCATTTTTATTAATTTATATTTCTTTTTTCTGTTTGTTACCTGATAACTTTTTACTGTGTGGACCGATTTTGGTGATTCTTTTTATTTGAAAGCTAGTGCTTGCCGTGTGGTCCCATTTCAATTTGGTCCAGATCTGACAATGGCATCTATGAGAAAACCATATGTCTTAAAATTGCAATAAGTATGCGTGATGTTTGTTACATCAAAAATTATTCATAGGGTGAACCGATCCTATTGATTCTTTTTTTTTATTTGATAGCTGGTGGTTCAGATGTAGTCCCATTTCAATTTTCAGCATAGTATTTGTCAGACTTCGGAGAAGGTTTTAGGTATATTAACAGACTAAAAATTGAGGATCGCACTTTAACACGGTTTTGACGCGGTTTTCAGAAAAGTATTTTTAACGTTACCTATTATATAAAATCTCAAAGCTTCTTATTCAAAAAAATGTCATTGAAGTCGGGCGCCTATAAATTTATTAATAACCTACAGAAAACCTCCGCCGGACTTTAATAGCATTTCGTTGAATAAGTCGCTTCTGCGACAAGTTTTATTTTTATCTGTAATAAATTGGTTGTTAATACAAATTTAAACGTCCAACTCTACATCAAAAGCGTAAGATTCTTGTACAGCAACCGCAAGTGAGGACTATCAAGAATTATGAATTGCAATCTAAGAGTTATCCAGGCCTAGGTGGAGGGCCAGGCGCCGGTCTCAGGAGGGCGCCAAAATTAGAAAAAAGAACGAGCTACACAAAACGGACGTTGGAAAGTGGGTTAAACTTGAGTGCAAATATTTGCACACTAACAAAGCAAGTTAAATAAAAGCTTGTTAAAAAATCATACACTGCAAAATGTGGAAACATAAAATCCGGCTGTTGTAGAAGGGCGCAATATTAAGTTTCTGTCCCGGTTGGAATAATCGTATATCCGAGTCTGGATTATTTACACTATAGTCGAGTAGGAGCAATCCTACTTAGGTACAAGTAATAGCAAATATTTTTAACCAATAGACGAGAAATTTGAATGAAATAAAATTGAACAATGGCTAATTATAGTAGTATTCTAATTTTCGAGATTTCTTACTTCATTCAAATTCTTGTTTATTTTTTAAAAATAATTTCTTAAGGTATTACTTATTTAACTCAAGTAATTATTTTTACTCAACTATAGATACGAGTGATAGACTTTTGGTTTTCAGAGGTTAAGTTATATATTGTGAATTTGAAGTTTGTGTTCTATGAGGCCGTCCGTGTATATCCTTTCCACCATAGCTTTTAATGAGTATAAATTTCAATATATATTTTTGTGAAGCTCATTCTATTTTATTAATATTTTGGCGTCCCCCTGACACTGGTGTCCGAGGCAAGTGCCCTCATAAGCCCCTAGATCCGGTTCTGCTTTAAGACGATACAAACGTCGTTGTAGAAGCGAGACATCGCTATACATTTACAGCATTATTCCACTTCGATTAGTGCAAATAATTGATCGATTGATAGAAGTTTTGTATTCTACTATCGAATGATTTTTAATCAGAATAAGGTAGTAGATTAATAAGAAGAGTGTAAATTCCTAGATCTTAAACTTGTAGTAAAATATTAGTTTATGTTAGATAATTTGTAATTATTTAAAATAAATATATTGTAATATTATAGACGATTTTTTATAAAAAAACTTTATTTAAGTACCTATAGGTATCTATTTTGTTACTAACAGACAATTGACAATCTACATAATATAATAATCAGTTTCTAGTTATAAAACAAACAATCAAAATTATATTAATATGGATACGACATCAATGATATATCTCTACAAGAACAATAGGTGAAATTTTAATAGTTAATTTTATAGTTTTGTAAGTTTTATCATGTCTATAAGATAACGCGTGATCTTTGTGTATTAATGATATGTTTATTTAAGAATTGTTAACTTTACTTATATTTTGATAGTGGAATACAATCTTTACTTACCTATTAAATTCAAATAATAAATCGTAACCTTTTTTATCTGCTAGTAGTATAAACTGTAATTTATTCGTTATTCATTTTGGTGTTTGTTTTATTTCATTAATTAAGGCTCAAAAGCGAATTTATCAAAACTATATTTAACATACCTACATATTTATAAGTTATTTTTGAAATATACTTTAATTCTGTGATAGTTTTAAATTTATACGTAGTTATATTTAAAAGAAAATTAATGTACGCATCCATTGATTTCGTTATTAATAACTAATGGGTAGTTGCACAAACGTTCATTAGGGTTTAATGACGCCATTAAGCTCTTATTAATGTCGAAGTTGTATGCGTGATGTTGCTTTAAACGAGTGACATTTTAATGGACGTTGGTGCAAATGGCTGTTAGTATGAAGAATCCTATGATTCTTCAAAAGCACCTTAATTTTATAAAAAAGAATTTCCGGTTTTTTTTTTTCAGTTATAACTAATGGAAAAAGGTAGAATTTATCTTATAATTTGTATATAATTACTATTATTGTAATGCACATGATTTTTTTTTTCCTTCAATACAAAAACTTTTTGCTTTTTGTTCCAATTGTTAACGTACAGTTTCTTGATCTCTATTAATACGAATATTTACAACATAAAACTGTAAAAATTAAGTTATAATGACTGGCCAATTTTAATGTAATAGCTAATATATAATCTGTAATTTAAGATAATTCCATGTCCAATGAATACACCAATTACGTTATAACAGAGGTTCACAAAATTTCTTTGTGTGTCCACTACCGATGAATATCTAATATATTCCAAAAATTTTTACTTTCGTAAAATAACTAAACATTCGATTGAGATTCGAAAACGGTGGTCCTTTTGAACCTTATTTTCTTCTAATAGAAAGAGAAATATGTACATACTAGCTTTCGCCAGCGGCGTCGCCCGCGTGGACTCTAGGGAAATGTTTAGTGGGATAAAAAGTATCCTATTATCTAAGTCAGCTAATACCCTATATGTATACCAAATTTCATCAAAATCCGTTCAGTAGTTTCGGCGTGATTGACGGACAAACATCCAAACATCTCAACATCCAAACAAAGAAACTTTCACATTCATAATATTAATAGGATTACCTATCAATAAATGTCTATGCAAATTTGTTACTTATCTACTATGAAGTTTATATAGGAAATAACCAAACTAAATAACAGGAAAAAATATGTTTCAGATAATTATTTTTTAGATTCTCTTGCAAGTAAACAATGAATGTATTTAACTATTATAATAAATAAGGACAAGAGTTTTTGTCATGTCGTAGGCACACACAATAGTTTTGTGATATATAAATATAAAAAATTATTTCATTATCATCATTAGCTATTTTCCCCATTGCAGGGGCTCAGACCTTCCTTATGAATTTTGCTTGAATTTAAATAATTTTTGGTAATAATTTTCTGGAGACTATGGCTATTTAAATATCTATTTGTAGGTGCCATAGATAAAATAAAATAATTTGACTTTACCCTTAGTAACAGTAAGGTGGTATTCTATTACCTCTGAACTACAAACCCATCCACCAGAAATCCAATAATATGTTTATTTTTTTTAAATATATTTGATTTTCTTTATATTGGCATGTTTTTTTAAAGTTAGCTATTTTTATTTGAATAGTATTGTTAGGGTTTTTATTGTAGACATTTGAAATTGAAAAATATATGAAAAAATATACTGTATTATATTGTGATTTCTGTACTTTAAGTAAAATAAGTTTGTAATCTACTTTAAAGGAAATGTTTTACTCTTTATATAAGAAATATATAATTGATAATAAAGTCTCTTGAATATCATTTTAATTATAAGTATAATAATTAAAATTATTGAGTATAATCAACCAGTTTACATTTCAAGATTACATCGTGTATCATTATATGACAAAATACTTTTTTATCAAGAGCAGTGGTTCTTAACCGGTGGTCCGTGGATAAATTGTAATTACAACATATTAAGTAAAATGGGTCCACACTTATTGTACATGAGAAAAAAATTATAGACAAGATAGAAAATGGTTCCCAATAACTAAAGTTTTAAGTAAATTTTATGTAAGATTAATTACTTCTGCTCGGCTATAGATACCGATTTTTAAAATCGTATCTATATCAAGTAGTTACTTCTACTCTTCTATATATAAAAGGTTAAGAATCACTAATCTAGAGAGATATAAAGTGGACATGTCTTCCTAACTATCCTCAGCGAATAATACGTCATCCACCTTCTGATCTTGTGGATCCATTGGCACATTGTCGATCACTTGAACGTTGAAGCCTATTGCTACTACCTAAAAAGAAAAAATCGCCACTCATTATGAAGAAAATGTTACTCCGCAGACAGGCTCATATTTTAACTCTTATCAACTTGTAAAAGTGTTCGGTCTGCGATTTCCTAAATGCCAGTCATAGGACGGGTAACAAATTATTATTATTTTGAGCTCCTCCGTGCTTGGGAAGTCACGTTAAGCCGTTAGTTCTGGCTGCATCTATAATCGGTAATACCTATAATATTGTAATGGGTCCGCGTCTGGGTCTGGGTCATGGCCTCATCTCCCTATTCGTTTCGATTCCATTCATAGGAAAAGGCAGTGTTCCGGCAGTGGGAACATTAATAGGCTGATGATAATGATAGGTATCTAAATAGTCCATAGGTCCGTCAAAGATGAAACATGCCTAAAATGCCTCTCCATGAAGGAGATGCACGGGAACAACCCAAAGACCAATTCCCGAGCCGAAAAAAATTGTAGGAAATGTACACAGACACTCTCCATTGTGCGAACAGTAGTCTTCGCAGTTATAATAAGAAAATTGACATATGTACATTGCCATTTTACATACGTTAATTGTCTTCGAACACTCTCTCTCTAGCATGAAGTTGCAGACGAGCCTACTGTAAACATATGGTCCTCTGTAATCCTTGCACATTCGAATTTGGTACCGCGAGGTGATTTTTAAACCTACGCACGCGACGCCACCGTGCAAGTTCTCGTTGGATGTTCTTGGATCGATGTGAATTAGATGGAAATCGAGTCATCGAAATAGGTACAATAAAAGTATACTCAATGACACGTCAAGTTATTAAATATGATGAAATGTCTACACATAGATTTTGAACTTGCATTTCATCTCACTAAGGCTTATAATCGGCTTTAGAAATCAGCCAGTTATAGATCATAGAAGGTGTGGCTGCCTTACCCTACTTATTTAAGTCTTTAAGATAGGGAATATGGATGGGCATGAATTTTTGCTTTGTTAGACGACGTTATAAGTATAATATAACATACTTTTGGAGCGGGATTGTAATTGCTCCTGAGATTCGTGATGAATTTGTCATAATAACCACCACCGTGGCCTAATCTATCGCCAGACTTGGAGAACGCCACGCCGGGAGCTATAATGAGATCCAATCCACCTGCAACCAAAACATAGATTGGAATTTAGAACTACACGATGGACCTGCAGAGTTTGAGTAGCTTATTTTTCATAGTTATTTTCACATCTCAAAGGGTTCTTTTTACTTGCAAATAATTTATTTTTATTATTATGCCCAAATTCCTCTGGTCCCACTCTGGACTATACTATCGCAGTATACTATAGCTGGTAAGAGATTTTCCTGTTTCCAGTCTTAATGTCGGCATCACAAATACTTTACACAATGTAGAAACGCAAATATCTTTGGAAGAAAGAGACTTGCTTACCATTTTCCAAAGCGTTTTCTCTAGGCTGGTCTTTTGAATGCTGTTGTATTCCATGTCTCGTAAGAGGCATTGCCTGTTCGTCTCCTGTTTCAAGTCTGAGCATGCGCATCACACCACCCGCGTATTGCGGCACGAACGCAGCCGCACCACGAGCGCGGATATGATCTATGATTGGAGCTGTGTCGATCTCTTGGTCGGTGCTCATAAATAGCGAAATTCGTTTCGAGGATTTGTAGTAGGGGTGATTTATTAGCTGAAATAAAAAGTAATTTCTTTTCAAGTTCAATGAAAACCGGAAAATACCGGAACTTTTTATAATATCTTTAGATCAATCAATATCTAATAAATGCAGTATCAAATCAATAGATAGTGCAAGCAGCTACGATTAGATAAATTATTAAGTAGTCGGATTTAAGGCGTTCGCCTGCAATCAAAATGGCACATGTCGAAGGAAGCAAAAGAAAGGAAATTTAGAATTCTTTTGAATGAAAACATATGAACCGTCGCACACAAGTGTGCTTCGATGCGCCAGAACTTTTTATGTTATCTGTTATTCATTTGCAAGTTGTAAAGAAAATTCCAGCTTCGGCGCTATTAGATATGCTAAGACGCTAAGATAAGATACGACAGTGTTCCTGAAACTTTTTGATAATATAAATTTTTTGGTAATCAAATATTCACATGGAGCCCTAAAATAAAACAAAAGCTAGTATTGTGGGTACTGTATTTTAGTTATGAATTACTTTATACATATTTTATACTAGTGGCCGCCAGCGACTTCGTCCGCGTTTTCCATTATTTCTTCGCTCCTAATAGTTGCAGCGTGATGTTATATAGCCTAACGCCTTCCTCGATAAATGTTCTATTCAACACAAAAATAATTTTTCAATTCAAACCAGTAGTTCCTGAGATTAGCGCGTTCAAACAAACAAACAAACTCTTCAGCTTTATAATATTAGTCTAGATTAATTTCGATCGTTTGTTGAAACATGACCATCATTCGTGATCCACCAACATGCTTCCAGGCTCCTCTGAGTATACTTTAAGAGACACTGCTTTAAAGAAACCCTGACACTTAAAACGTGTGATTTTTTTTATTATGTATGTACCAACTAATAGCACTTATAAAATAATACTACTGGACTCGTCTAAAATACTTGTGACAAAAAATCCGCAAAAGTATTCGAAAGCTATATTAGTATATTTGAGTATGTTGATGTGCTTAGGGAATCACTCAGTACCCATGTGGAGATAATATACAAGAACACCTCGGAGCTGACTTTCGCAACAACATCTGAGACGTCCTCAACACGTCTCATGATGTCGCCGCAACGACTGTGGGGTCTGAGTATTATTTTCTTAACTTTGACCTTTACACTTCAACATACTGAGTGGTAAGTGTAAGTTTTACGGTAACGCGTTCACTAGTGAGCGCGTTAAGAATTTGTATGGAGATTTGTAGTTCTTAGTAGTTACCGCTAGGGGCGCTGTACCTGATTCCATACTAATATCTTAACGCGCTCACGATCGACAGTGGACGTAAACGTCAAAAAAACTTACACTAAGCGCTCTGAAATATGAAACTTTAGAAAACTCTTGCAGATATTTGGCACAATCGCTTAGACATTACCTTATCATACACTATTTTGGATTGCCTCTTTTTCTCGTCAGTGGAGAGAGCCGCGATACGGGTCGCTATTTGTTCCCGGAGAAGCGCTTTAGCCGGGTTAGGGGTCACTTTACTCATCTTCAGTTATCTGTCCAAAACAATAGTTTTAGTATCGCAAGTAATTTAATATTATTTATGCAGGAAAAATTTATTATCACCAGATTTTTTTCCTAACATTTAGATCGAAACTGGCGACTTGGACGTGCTTTTGACATCTACCTACAAAAAATATAGAAATTAATGAATCTCATAGTTACGTAAAAGTATCTAAGTAGTTACCTGAATTTGTTTTATTGCTGTAGAGAAAATAGGTATAATGCAGTTTCTCGTTGTAATGACTGTAATTTCTGTTAAAAAAATAATATTGGCTTTGTTTCCTTATTTTTGCACAGTGGCGGATTAGGGGGGGTGGAGGTTCGCGCCGAGCATCTAGTGCTAAGGGGTCTCCAAATGGCTACAAGTTCCCTCGAACAAATCATAAATATGGCTTGGAGGCCCCGTAGACAAATAAGTATTATAGCCTTAGTATCGGTAGTTTACATTTTTTTTAATATGGGGGAGGGGGGGGGGGGGGTGTTGTAAAAACAGTTTCTGCCTCCGTTGGTGAAAAATTTGTAGGACTGATGTCGCCCCGAGCCCCCGAAAGGGTTAGTCGGCCACTGGGTACACACGCTATCATGGGTAATGAAAACAAAGTGGCAAAAGGACATTTAAAATTTTACACATACCTAGTCAATATGTGTGAAAAGTCAAATATTCGCAATCGAGCTCTATTTTCAATACGTCGACTTTTTAATTCGACCGAAGAATTTTTATATTTTTATTTTCAATTCTACAAACTTGTATTGAAGTCAGCAGTTCATAATGTTAATTGAGTAGTAAGTAAATAAGAAGTCGGTTTTATTTCTTTATAAGGAAATCGTTGAATTTTAGGTATATTTTCGAAATTACTTTACTAATTTTGATAAAACTTTGTTCCTTACGTTGAAAACTTATTTATTTAAAAAATAATTTAAACGACATTTTGTTTTTCATAAAATAAGTAACATACCCACGGCAATATACCACGAGGAAAATTTTGGCACACTTAGATTAAAACATTTGAATATTAAACCACTAACGAAGTTATATATACCTAGAGGTCGAATATATAACTCCAGACCCTACCTTACCGTATAGATAACCTTCCTTTTTTGAGTCGAATAATGAATTCAATTAAAAATAACTTTGTTAGTTAACCGCCGTCAGTTCTTTTTTATTAATTATTGATTTGTTAGAGTCGGTTTTAGTGTTTGTGTAATAAGACGTGCTATATTTATTGGATCAAAACTTTATAAAATAAATAACTACTAACCTAAACATCTGAATAAGTATGCGAAAACAAACGAAAAAGAAAATAATTTACTTACAGCAAATGATTGCTTCTTTCCTTCTATGCGTGAAAAGACCGCTCAGTGCCGACTGATAACTTTAAAGACGATGATTATGTGTGTGTTGAACGATAACACAGTAGATAATGATAAACATTGTACGGAAGAACAATCAAAATAACATTGTTAGTTTAGAATGCCTCCAGCATCATCTACTGGAAAGTAACAGAAGCACTAGCAATAATATTGGTAGCGCCACCTAGAGGAATAACTTAAAAGCACTTTTTAATTTCTTTTACTGTCGCATGAACTAAAATGGTGTTGGAGTAAAATTATAGATGGCAGAACTTAAATAATCTTACAACAATAATATCACCGTATTTATGATATACATTTATAGAGTATATAAGTATATAAAATCCTTCTTAAAAAAAACTTTGATAGGTAAAGTTTTACTTAATTAACTTTATAGATATCAAGTCATGTTAATCATGTTATGAATATGTGTAGACTTATGTATACTAATACGTAGTGTGTAGGTAAATAATTAATTAAAAAAAAAAAACAATACAAGAATGTTAATCTCGCACGAAAGGATCGGTAACGGAAACGAGCAAAAAAATCGCGTTTGTTGTATCATTTATTTTATAATAGTTTTAAGTATTTGTTCTTCTCTGTGAAAATTTCAATTAACTTTCAAGGTTTATGAGATACAGCCTGGTGACAGACATATAGACAAAGAGACAATGAAGTCTTAGTAATAGGAACCGCGTACGGAACTCTAAAGACCAACCAAGGTAGATGGGAACCTAGGTAGAGCTTTGTATAGAGAGGCGTAAAGACAAAAGACATCCTTGTTTTGACTTTCTGCACGTCCAAAACGGTTTTCAATTAATTCTTGGCAAACTATTGCTTAATTTCTGCGGCTACTGTGAGATTATATTCACTTAATTATTAATTTTCAAAAATTTATAATATTAATTTGATTAAAACAAGAAATGAAAAAATCTTTTCTATTGATTTTTATTTATTTTAAAGCTTTTATTATTATGCAGCTTGCCTTGTTAGTAAGTTATTTAGTTAATGTCCAAATCTTGGAACTCAAATTTAACCCACTTCTCAATGTCCCAATTTGAAATTTTGCATAGACATGTAAGTTAGATGACAATGCAATATAATTGTGTCAGTAAGCTCATATGGTGGTCATAGGAACTTAGTTATAAAATGACGCAACTACATCGTCTTTGGGCTCGTTAGATCCGTCTTAATGAGGATTTTGGTATTGGATGCTTTCCAAATCAAGCTGCTGGAGCTGGAAGCAGGTCATAGGATAATGATTTCATTATTCTCTATATAATAGGAAAATGAAATAATAGAACTTTATAAACTTGTCTTGCATACAATTTATATTTATAGTAGGTATAATGCGCACAAATAAAGGCTTGTTTTTGGAAAACTTACTGTTATTATATATTTTTTACATTACTCATTAGTTGTAGCTACTAAAATTTTACTTGTTAAACGAAAAAGCTAGTCCTTCTTTTAACCGTAACGGGTATATCATGAGTCATCCGGACCTTAATAAAACCAACAAATATTTTTTCACTAAACATAAGACAGGAAATTGTAAATATAACAAATAGATTGTAAATTGTAAAATGAAAAGCCACCATAAAGTTCAACTTTAATCACTTTCTTCCATTTATATTATTTTTGTAGTGGAAATTGTTAAATATGTAGTATATAAGTCACCATGCAACCGAGGTATAATATTGTGCTGTATTACCTATATTATACTAACGTACCTATATATTGTTGGAGAATATAGTACTTGGAGGATAACTAATATAACACGCAAAAATACTATATTTCCAACCACGAAATCTAAGAAACGAAGAATCTAAGAAGAAATCCTTGTTTATTATGAAGGCGCTTAATTAACATTTGGCTAATGCAGTTACTTGTTAGCTTGTTTCTTGAAAGATGTCCGAACGGGCAGTAGGATAAAAAATTGAATGATTCATAAGTGTTCACATTTGCTTAAGCTTAAGTTTACTTGATTAAAAGAGAATATAATTTATTAAGCTGTAAGACACCCATTTGTCTTAATTGTTCGCTTTTGAAAGTTTCTTAGTGACTATTATTTTTTTAAAGTGTACTATATTTTAAGAGTTTATTTGTAAAAACACTAAATTTCCCTGAAGAAATATTGATAACCCTATCGCGAGATCAGTTGCCGCTTGTGCACGTGTTGTTATTTATTTTCGAACTGTGTGTAGATTTGCAATTATTAAAAATAATATTGTTTTTTTGCATGAAAAAATATTATCATAATATGTACCTATATTTATATTTTAAATCTTATTATAAACGGGTTAAATAATATTTTTTATCATATAAAAAGGAGGAATATTACGCAATAGTTTATTGATAACAATTTAAATCACCCCACTGCTGCCAAAATAAGAATAGACCTTCTGTAATTCAATGTATGTACAGCGGCCGTGTTATTCCCAGACACCCAATTTACTTACATAAGTTTTTTTTTCTTCATATATAGATTATTTAATTGTTTAAACAAAAATAGTTGGTGTTGGTTGTAAAGGAAAGGTCGATTTTCTGTATCGTTTACTTTTAATATGTTATTGTCTTTAAGTAGACAACGTCTACAATTCTGCTGAACGAGAATGAATATTATTCAAATAAAATTATTTTAACTGAACGTGATATTACGTTGATAATGTATACTTACCTATTCGATACGATCTTTAGACGCCACGTAGCTAGCTAGGTACTTAACTCGCAAAGGAGTCAAAGCATCTAAACATTGTTTAAAATTAGCACGCTTTTTCGCGTACGAGATATGTTTTTATATGTTTACGATTAAAACACATAGTCGTTGCTTTTCTTATTAAAATGTATAAATATCTATTTATGATACTGCAAGGGGCACGAGGCCTTCGACTTCCTAAGGCCTACCTATATTATTTCTTTCATTCACGGACATTGGTGTAGTTAGGAATTTTTCCTAGGGGGCTCCAGCCCCAGGGCCATGGCCCCAGATCTGATAGTATTTTTATAGGGTGGGCCCACAGCTTTCCCCTCCCTATTTCACGGAACAATTCACGGAAAAAAGTTCCTTTCAGATGATTGCGGCTAACGGGTAAAGTTCGATAAAGGACATCTATATGCCATTAATTATACGAGTATATTTGCAAAATTATTCTCAATTTTATTGTAAATGTAATTAGCGTATCGGACCAAGTTCCCACATAACTTGAGCTCCACGTCCCGGCAGGCTACCGACGTTACTGCGATTGCATTGCAAGACAGGTGCAGTAGTACAAGTTTTCATTTTTATTTATTTTCGTGATAGGAATTTATTGCTTTAAGTTAACTATTGCTACTTTTATCTGAGGAATAAAAACCGGCCCTCATTATCATTATGCCAAGCTTCATATTAAAAGTTAAAACAAATATTGTGCAAATAAAAACCGTACTCCCAAGACTCTACACTAACAAAACATCGAAGTCGATACTACAAAAACCTTTTTACAAAAGGATTTGTTTAAAGCGGCTTCTAAACGGGCAATATTTTTCAGTTATTCGTGGCTACACTATACAGACAAATTAGACAACTATTGCCTATAATACGTTTAGAAACGTTTTTGTCAATATTGGCCATCCCAAAAATATTTGGCTATATGTCTAAGATATAACTGAAATATTGCACAACCTGACTGGCATATCTTGCAATGTTGCTGGGCGACTATGTTGCAGCCCCTAATTAAAAATATTACCCAAAGCTACTTAAGTTAGCCAAGAAATTTTTACGCTTTTTATAGACTAAATTGTATTTCTTTATCACACCATCGATCATCATCGTGATTAATCATTAATAAGAGACCAGTGGAGGTGGAGCTGCCAACTCTACCGGTTTTAATTCGAGTGTCCCGGTTTGGATAGAGCATGCCCGGGCTCTTAGTTAAACATCATTTTGACAGATCAAAAACAGAGCTCTAGCATAGCCGTCCGCTTACGTCCGAAACAATAATATACAAAATTTAGTTCATAATAATAAGAACAGCGAAGACTAACTCCGTAACTTAGTTTAAAGCTAGTTTATTTGAGTTAGGAGTTATTACCTACAGATTTATAATGAGTTTCGTTCAATTTTATAATAGATTGAATATCCTGATGAAGCTCCGTAAAGGGGTGAAGCACATGTAGACAAGGGGTTTGTAACATTATTTTAATGCCGCTTTGTAAAAACTTCAAGTTACAAGTTACTGATTCTATTTTTACTATGGCGATGACGTGTGCTTTGTTGCCCTGGCCACTGGCTGCTCGTTCTCTGTTCTCTAGCTCTGCAACACCGCGTATCGTAGAGCGCCTCGCTCGCTCGCCGCAGTCAGTCCGCGCTCGTAAAGTGTTGTGCACGTGTCGTGTTCTTTTACCATTGAAACTTTCTTACGTCAATCAATGGATATAACCTAATGCGACGCGAGTTTTGTTTTATTAACTTCACAATGTGATTTTGTGTGTGTTTTCTGGCCAATGTATTACTACAATTCTCTTATGATCAGTGACGTGTAAAGTTGTGCCAACAATGTGAGATGTGAATTATTCAAAAGTGTAGTGATTTAAAATAAAGAGCTATGAGTATCCAAAAGTGCCTGCTGGATAATTCCAGTCGAATGATAAAGGCTATGTCTACTACAAAATCTACGGCAGAAGTGAAGACGGTAAGTTTGTAAACATTATTTTATGCTATTGGTCGGTCGACCTTGTAGTCACAGTGCAAACAAATTGTAGGTTATCTTTTGTAATTAAAATTGAATACAAACAAAATATAAAAGTTCTTTTATGTGTCTGCTTAAAGTAATTGACGTTTATAAATAGATATTTAGATAAAAAACCAACCAAAAACTGTATTGTTCTTTAGATATTATTATAATTATCAGTTAACCGAAAAATATGTAAATTTGTCGATAAATATAAAAAGGTAGTATGGTAGGTAATCAATGAAATAAATAAAATCTTTAACTTTGACAATGTTACACCATTGCACATACTTATTATGCAATGTTTTCTAAACTTGGGATGTTAGATTAATAATTTTGAAAACCTTATTAACACTAATACCTACTCGATAATAAGAAATAGGTATTTTGGTACAAGTTTAAGATCAGCAAGTTTCTTAAATA